ACCCAGAATATGTGAATTAGTTACAGAATGTTAGAGCTACAAAAGAACAGCTTCCTTCAGGTGCCCTCTTTGGCCAGTGAAAAAACAGGCCCAGAAAGGTTGAGAAACTGGTGTTGGGAGAAAGAAGGGAGAGAAAGGGAACTAACATTGATGGGTACTTACTGTGCCTGGTACTATGCTAAGTGCTTTGCTTTTATTATCTTTGTGGTTAAGCACCTTGAAGCTAAGGGATGGAAAGGGTAAAAGACAAATCTCTTTTATTATGTAGAGGATAAAGGGGGGTGGTAGACCACTTTTTCCCTCTGTATCCACACAGGGCTAAACTAGAGGAAATAAGAGTCTGCATTTGAGAGTGAGGTTAATCTAAGAGAAGTACTTGCCAAACAGTTGAAAAAGACACACAAATAACTTCTCCATTCCTAGATAATCTTCTAAAATGTAATGATTGGAGGCTGGGTTGGTAGAGAACAAGATTACTCTTGGCTCTGGGATTGGTTTCCATCCTAGAAAATCAAGTCCTGACTTGAAAATATAGGATTAATCTTAGAAATAGGGAACACAATGGGACTTCTCTTCCTAAGCTGTCTTTAAAGAGAATCTTATTTATATACTATGAATCAAGGAGATAAACAAATTCCTTTGGTGACCATGCTTGTTTGTGGTTTTTTTTGTTTTGTAACACTTTGAAGTCATGAAACTGAATTTGTAATTTTGGAAAGATTCAGTGCCAGAAGCTCAGGACATGTGGCAGTCTGAAAATTCTGAAAATTGACAGAATTAAGATAGTGTTCCTTGCAGTTGTTTGCTATAATATCCCAAGAGTTTTATCACTGAAGGCTCTTTCAGTGGGAAATATTAATATCATTAACACAGGGTCATGTCCTGAGTACAGGACAACCTCTAAGGGAGAAGGTTGGAGGAAGGTCCCTCCTTTAGAAAGCTTCTGGGTATAGTAAGAGAGGTAAGTCTTATACTTGGTAGAGAATGGAGAATCAATATTTATAAGTCAACATGTTAATGCAAGTTATAAAATAAAATATACCCTAATAAGAGGAAACCAAAGCAAAGAAAAAGTGGAGTTAATCAGAAATAATTATTTGAAAGTAAAGAAGATAAGGGACGTGGAACAGAAGAGGAGGTAAGCAGAGGGAGGAGACTCGTGAAAGAGGGCTCGTGCGTTTTGTGCAGAGGGCTGTGAGTTGACTATCTAGAATGGTACTGGAAGGGAATATTCGAAAATGAAGTTGGAGAAGCAATCTTGTTGGCTTGAATGAGGAATTTGAATTTGATTTAGTAGCAGTAACAGAGCAGAGCATGATGAGATAAAAATGATGTTGAGAACTTTTGCAGCAGTACTGGGTCAAGGAAACAGAAAAGTTCACTAGAATATTATTGTTCTTGCGGAGACAGGAGGCAGTGAGGGCCTATAGTAGAGTAGAAAAAGAAGAATCAGAAGAAAGGAAGAGGGTCCATAGGAATTAGCAAGGCTTGGTTATAGCTTGGATATAAGGGGAGAAATAAAAGATAGCCTTCAGATGATGATCCCAAGATATATTTGTGCTGTTTATGGTGATGAACGCTTGGTAAGAGGGAGCTGCATTGTTTTTAAGGCATAGGAAATATTTACTTTATTCACCAATTGATGGGATAGATTATGTATATGTTCAGTATTACAGGGTCTAGGAGGGGGCACTGCCCCTGGAGAATAAGAGAGCATGCACTGTGTGTCCAGATGATAACCTGCATCCTGCCCTTTTCAGGTTGGAGAATTAGGCAAGAGAGATCTATTGCTGGGGTGTGCCCATAGACTTCAAGAATGCTATCCTACTCTGGATCTGGGAAAGAAAATACAGCTTTTTGCCAGTTTCTTCCCCTTTAATGCTTTGAAAATGGGATATGACTAGCCTGTGGCAGCATGTGCCTGTAGATGCACAATTCTCTGGCTTGATTCTTGGAAGGCCTTTTTCTGTCCCTCCCTGGGGGTCATTTGTATCTCTGATTCCTGCTCCCAGAGCCATAAAGTGGGAGCCCCCATTTATTAATTGGGTTGGGACTGGGGAGGGGGTCGGCAGGGGACTCTTTAGTGCAGCAGGCGGGGGTCTACCCGAATGAGCCCATTAGCCAGCCCCAACGGCAGCTGAAACGGGGCGGCAGCCAAGTCCTTTCTGTTTCAAAAACCCTCCATCGCCTGCAGCAGATCAGAACAAGGCCTGCGGGAGCCCTTAGCTTCTGATTGCAGCTGTGAGGAAGGACAAAACAATTTATAGGAAGCCAAGTAGCTCCTGTCTCACTGTCTCTTCCTTTCCAACTTTGGAAGGGAGAAGACTGGATGTTGTCACCCCTCCCACCATGGCTTCTTACAGGCACATACAGTCCTAAAGTAGGAGAGAACAGAAATGAGTGTACGAATGTTGATTGGACATTTATTTCTATGCCGTGGATGTATTTACACATGTCTTTGCTTTCATCCGCACACAGTTGAGTTGGATTAGTAGCCACTACTTATATGGGGCTCCCTAGGGCAAAGCCAAGTGTGTGCTCAGGCTAGGGCTGGGAACATGCCTATTGGACTCATTCCTGCCCCATACCTGCCTTCAGTCTCCTATCTGTGTTATCAGGATTCAGAGTTAGAGTCCTTCTTTTCCTCTTAATGGGAGGAATTTGGCACTTAAAGGAAGGCCTACTGGAACTCACTTGACCCTTTAGTTAAGCCTACAAGAGAAAGGGAGGCATCTATAGGGGAGCTTCTCTTTGCAGTGGCCAGGAGAGAAGGCATGAAAGGGCAGAAATGTCTTACTTCCTGATGGAAGGACACTTAAGTCTTCTCCCTTATAAAATCATAGATTGACAGAGCTAGAAAAGAGGTCATGTAATCCAAACTCTCAGTGTACAGAGCAGGAAAGTGAGGCTTAAGGAAAGAAAGTGTCTTACCTACAGTATCACAGTAAGTTAATGGCAGCTCGCCAGGACTAGGCCCAAGAGGCCAGAATCTTGACCTACATGAGTATAGCACCCCCAACTTTAAGGTGACCCATTCCTAAGATCCCTGAGCTTCCTCAGGAAAGGAAGGAAGGGGGCTATGAGAGGTGTTTTGGTTTTTTGTTTTTGGAGACAGGATCTTGCTATGTTGCCCAGGGTGGAGTGCAGTGGCATGGGCATGATCATAGCTCACTGTAACCTCAAACTCTTGGGCTCAAGCGGTCCTCCTGCTTCAACCTCCCAAGTAGCTAGAACTACAGGCACATACCACCATGCCCGGCTAATTTTTAAAAAAAAGTTTGTAGAGACAGCGTCTCATTATATTACCCAGGCTGGTCTCAAACTCCTGACCTCAAGCGGTCCTCCCACCTAAGCCACCCAAAGTGTTAGGATTATAGGTTTGAGCCATCAACCACATCCAGCCAGGGCTGATATTTTGAGGAGAGAGGGACAGAGACTGAGGGGGAAAGATAAGATTTAAAAATCATTAGTAGAAAAATTGAAGTATTTTGTGTATTTTACCTTAAAGAATAATCTTTAAATGGCATGCAAATTGTACAAAATGTAATTTTTATTTAGAGTCAGGAGTTCTCTTGGTTCATTGGGAAGCAAGTGGCAGTCATGGCCAAAGATGCTGATGCCCTCAAAGTTACCCCAAAATTCAAAGAGCACTTTGCCACCATCTCTGGAGGTTGAATAGCGGGAAAAGATTGTCAGAAGCAATGTGAGGAATTTACCCTAAATCTCAACTTAGGCTCCTTTGCATTTCAGTGCACCTATATTGAAAAGAAAAATCAAAAGGAAGAAAGAAAATACATCTCATCTGCTGAAAAACTAAGGTGGGGGAGAGGCCACTGAATGAGAGGATTATAGAACTCAGAGCACAATGACATATTCTCCGAGATTACCAGAAAATTAGGGGGGACCTTCTATTCCTCTCCTCTCCCTTGTTTTTAGTTTTGAGTTGTTTGGTGTTCTCCTTTGATGAGGGAGAAGGAAGTTTGTATGTGGTGCTCCACAGTGGCCTAAATACCCTAGTGTGCTTAGCTGGCTGATGTGCATGGCAGTTTCTGTAAGTCAGCTCACTCTGATGCTGAAACTCCCCTCCCCTTTTTGAACCTCTCCTGGCTGTTATCTACAATCCATTCCAAAGCTTGCTTTCTGTGGCCATATGGGTCTGGGAGCCACTGATAAGCAGAGAAGGGAATGCTGAAGCATTCCTAAGCTAGAAACAGAATCTTGAAGGGAGAAGGGCATCACTGGGCAGCTTAGAGAGGGTTACTAATACGAGCCTAGGTCAGAGGGGCTGGGGATCTGCAAAATAAACATTGCTGATGACAAGAAAAATAGAGCCCAGTACGTATCCTTACATTTTGTCCATCACATCCTAATTGATAGCATAGGGGGAATGTGAAGTTGGTCTCCCTGCAACTTTGTCTCTGCCCAGAGAATGTATGATAGACCTGTTGGCTCAAGTTGTATCTAGTTCCTGTCCTGCAAACCTTTTGGTTTAGTAGTCGGGCACCTACCCCCCCCCTTTTTTTTTTTTTTTTGCTCAGAGCCCTTCCTTTAGGAGTTATTGTGAACAAGAAAGCCACAACTCCAAGCTAGTGATCTGATCTAAAACTAGGTGGCCTCCTCTAAGTCACCTTCTTGCATTAACCTTATATTAACTATTAACCTTCATTGCCCTTTGTAATTCTAGGTTTCAAAGCTTCTATTTCTGTTGAATTTCCCAACTTATCTCTAAGTATAGGAACTATGGTTTTGCTTTTATCAACCTGGGAGGTAGTTCCCTGGAGATCAGAATCTTAGAACAGTTATGATTCTCTCAGGGAGTGTACTTAAGGTTCATCTGAATCCTTCTAGGGAATTCAGGTTTGAGGGAATTGGAAGAGTAGTAACTGTCACCATCACTGCTACCTACCAGTACCATGCTCCCTGGGTGAAAGACCAAAGACCCTCTTTGGTGTGTAGTCCTTTGTCTCATGTCTAATGTAGCCTGTCATTTTCCTTTACAGGTGGTAGCAACAGCAGGGATGGCCCCCAAGGAATTTGGTAAAGTCCGTTGGTTACCTCACCTCCAGAGCCTAGCAAAGAGGGTCTCTTTCACAGAACCTAAAGCCAGGTAGGGACCTAAGGCCAATCAGAGGCCACTGGCCTGCTTTTGTATGGGATAATCCCTCTCTCCACATCCTCCTCTAGTCTCAGGGAAGTTTCTTACTCCCAAAGATCTCCAGAGGAGTTTCCTCAGTTTGTTTTGTTTTGTTTTTTCCTTAGCTTTTTATTTGAACCTATTCTGGTGTTCTACCTTCTTGTTAACAAGTTCTCCCTTCTAACTAGAGTGGGTAACCCCCTTTCTTTTTTTTTTTTTTTTTGAGACAGAGTCTCACTTTGTTGCCCAGGCTAGAGTGAGTGCCATGGCGTCAGCCTAGCTCACAGCAACCTCAAACTCCTGGCTCAAGCAATCCTCCTGCCTCAGCCTCCCAAGTAGCTGGGACTACAGGCATGTGCCACCATGCCTGGCTAATTTTTTTTTTTTTTGTATATATATTAGTTGGCCAATTAATTTCTTTCTATTTATAGTAGAGACGGGGTCTCGCTCTTGCTCAGGCTGGTTTTGAACTCCTGACCTCGAGCAATCCACCCGCCTCGGCCTCCCAGAGAGCTAGGATTACAGGCGTGAGCCACCGCGACCGGCCGGTAACCCCCTTTCTTGACACTAGCAGTTATTTCACTTCTGTTCTTTCCTCGTTGCCAGCTATGCTAATAGGTATTTCTCCAGGGTGGGCTACTGATGTTACTGGGTTACTCTCAGCCCTCTTTAGGACAGCTACCCCACAGGCCCACCACTCTGTCCATACACATGGCCCTGCCATCTTCTTTCCCCAAAAGCTATTTTCTGTCCCTTTCTTCTGAGTCAAAATAGGGCAGTGCTGTCCCTTTTCACTACCTCTAATCAGCTTCTCCACCTTCTTTCCAGGTTCAGTGGGAGATTTCACCTGTCCCAACACTGTGCAGGACACCAGAAGTAGAGGCCTGCAAGCCTGTTTCCTCTATCCCTAATGCCCAGATGGGGCAGGTCACCAGCCTCCGGTGCCAACCTCACCTTTCTTGCCTGCAGGTAGGTATGCTGCTCCCCTACCCCACCCATCAACAGGTTCATGTTTCTCTCTGGCAGTAATTTCTCTCTGTGGTTAAATATCTCCAACAAGACAAAGGCCTTAGTGACTTAGCTCTCTGTCTTGGTAACTTCAGCTCTAGTCTTTAGAGAGCCTCTCCTGGTGTCAGATGTCCATCTCTTTTTCTATAGCTCAGGACTGTCTTTTCCCACACTTAGAGAGTGTGGGAAGGGACCAGTAAATAGTATTTGATACTGGAGAGGAAGAGTTTAATGACAGGCAGCCTTCTTTTTGGGGGCCAGAAGTCTGAAGGCCCAAATGTACATTCTTCCCAGTGGGCTGGTATCTTGGGAGAGTATTTGGATCTTTGCAGGGAAAGGTGTTTTATCTGGTGTCCATTCTTCAGGACCAGGATCTGAGGCTCTGAACACCTGTTTGTCCTACTCATTCCCAGTCCCCCCCACGGAGTACAGAATGGATGGTGGTAGGGCAGAATCAACCACTAGGTTTCACCCTGTCTTTTCTTTATGTTTTTCTTTTCTTTCTTTCTTTTTTTCTTTCTTTTCTTTTTTTTTTTTCTTTTTTTTTTTTTTTGATACAGAGTTTCTCTCTGTTGTCCGGGTTGGAATGCCATGGCGTCAGCCTAGCTCACACTAAACCTCAAACTCCTGGGCTCAAGTGACCCTCTTGCGTCAGCCTCCCGAGTAGCTGGGACTGCAGGTACGCGCCACCATACCCAGCTAACTTTTTCTATTTTGAATTGCCCAGCTAATTTTTTTTCTATTTTTAGTAGAGACGGGGTCTCCCTCTTGCTCAGGTCTCGAATGACTGACTTAAAGTGATTCTCCCACCTCAGCCTCCCAGAGTGCTAGGATTACAGGTGTGAGCTACCACACTGGCCTACCCTGTCTTGAGCTCAGGTACCATTTCTCCTCTGGGGCCTGTGGAGAGCTGGGGGTGGAGGCAAAGTATCTCCCTGCCTCCTGGGTATTGGAGATGACATCAGCTTATCCTCTTGACCCTGGACGTCTCTCATCCCTGCAATCCAAACAGCACAAACAGCAGGCCCAATTAAGTGTCACCTCTGGATAAGGTGCTCCCTCTCCTGGTAGACATATGCACAGAGTTAGAGATGAGGCAGGTGGGATGGGGTAGATCGAGGGAGAGAGCAGGTTTAGAAAGCAAGAAATGTCCTGGAAGTAGTCAAGCAGTAAGTATGCATGGGGTGCCTTGATGGCAGAGAGAGCACCAACATTCAAAACTTGGCCACTTGTCTATCAACCAGGTTGCCGGATCCCACAGAGCAGCCTGGCCAGTAGGACAGCTGCAGTGTTGGTTTCTGCCACACGAGGGCGCTGCTGACTAATTAAAACTCATGCCCTTTAGCAGACAGAGTGCAAGTGAGGGCACCCTTTCCCCAAGACAAGAGTTCAGAAATACCCCCAGAGAGCCAGGGCCCAAAAAGCCAAAAGAGTTATTGGTACCATTTCCTCTTCCTTTAAAATGGCCTGAGACTCTAAACACTCTATCCTAGTAGCCTATCTCATTGCCAACTGAACTTGGGAAGCCCCCTAATTCCAGGCACTGAATACCTTGTACAGGTGCTTCTCTCTCTCAATGTGTGGCAGCTGTCCACCCCACTGGCCCCCTGCCTCCATGACAGTCACTTTCTGACCCAGAGGGTGGGGTGTCTGAGGTTTTCAAGGGGAAAAAAATCTCTTATAATTGTTCTAAGAAAAGTATCTTTGTTAGTGAGAAAGTGTTGGGGGGGACTGAAGCCGGAGAGAGTGAGTCACCCTGTCACCTCCCTCAGCACAGATCTGCAGAATTCAAGATGAGTCTAGAGGATGTTTGCAGCCTGAGTGGCTGGAATATACCTCAGGACACTCCAGGGCTCTGGGCCAAAGATGGTGTCAGAAAGCAGGAAGGAAGGGTGGGCTGCTTCAGCCCATGAGTCTCATACACCGTATCCCATATGATGGCTCTGCTAGGGATGCAAAATGGCCACAGGACCCCTATGGGAGTGAGGACCCTCTAATTGACCCTCAGTGTCCATGAAGCCCTTCCAGGCTGAATAGGCTAAGGGAGATAACAGAGGTTCTCCTCCTCCTTCCTACCCCCATGTCTGAGGGCCCCTCCCCAGGAGGACAGCTTGATTAAACAGTCGGTGCTGCTGGAATTACTGCACAGCTGGCACTCCCCCCAGCACCCCAAGCAAAGCAGCAGTGCAGATTAAAATCTCCAATTAGCGTTAAAGTGAAGTGAGGAGGTGCTGAGGCTGCCAAGAAGGCCAGGCGGGGGCCCTGGGTTGGCAAACCCCCCGCTCCTGCCTAGATTCTGAGTGCCACCCTGAGTCACCCCTACTTTCCTAGCTACTCTCCCAGCAGCTCATGGTGTCGATTAGCTTTGTGTTGCTTGTGGCCAGAGGGCTTTGGGGGGGCAAATGCCTTACCTAGCAAAATGCTGGGGACACCATAAGTATGGAGGAGAATGAGAGCGGTCAGTGCTCATCAAGGGAGATGCCCTACTCACAGTCTGCCAGGCTGCCAGGCCAAGGTGACTTCACACTACTGCTGCTGCTTTTTGCCTAGAGAAAGGGCAAACAGGACAGGTCCTTCTAGGTCCTGTTACCTATAAGGTGCTGGGGGACATGGTGTCCACATGAGCATCTATCTTTACATATTTTATATTATTTGACCCATCTGCTCTCACCCAGATTATGGCTCCTTCCTTCCTCCCTCCCTCCATTTTTCTCTCAGCTTTCCTGTGGGCAGAAGTAGGCACAGCCAGGCTTGGGAGCATCGCCATGCCCTGCCACCTGGGTCCCAGCTGGCTCCTCGTTATATTCTCCTCAGTTTGGGGAAGAGCAAAGATATGCCGAGAATGGAGACCTCAGACTCTTCCAACCCCTGAACTTCACACCCCCTCCTAAGGCCTCTCTACCATTTACACTTCTGCCCTTCACCCACCAAATGCAGAAGGAGGGCAGCACAGCTAGCCATGCCCCCTGACTGCCCTCTGCCCCTTTAAGGGAAATGAAGGTGGGTACCCAGCTGACTGAACCTACTCACACCTCCAGAAATTAGACACCAGGGCACGGTGCCACCCTCCTAGGCTGGCACATGCTACCCTGGCAGAGGTTCAAATAGCCCCCCCCATTATACCCCCACCCCTATGTCTTCCTCTACTCTCCCTCTTGCTTCCTTCTCTCTCTATTTTTTTTTCTCAGCTCAAAGCACAGCTGAGCCTTAAAAGGGGGGTGGGGGGGGTGGAGAGACCAAGCTGGGGCAGGGGGGTGTAGAGCTTCAATAGCACGTTTTCACCTGCCATTTAATTGGATGTATTTTTAATTAATGGGACCTCAGGGACCAACATGAGACAATCTGATATCTGAATAGGGACAGGGGAGGGATTGGGTAAGGGAGGAGGATTGGGCCATTGGGTGCGGTTACCAGGAACCCGAGCCCATCAATCACTGGCCACTTTGCGTTCTGGCATGGAGAATAGTGAGGTGGAGGAGGGGAGGTGCTGGGGAAAGGTGCCAGGATTTCCCCCCAACTGCCAGGACCTCCAAAAGGGTTGGAACTGTACTGGTTGACTCAGGTCTGGAGCCCAAAATTGCAGCCAGAATATTAGGTGAGGCTGTTTTCTTGCTCCTGGGGTTTTGTCTGGTTGGGCTTGTCCCAGGGAGTGCTGTAAAACTGTGAAAGGAAGATGGAGACCGAGCTTTAAGGTCCTTGAAGAGAGGACAAGGGCAAGGGACCATAGAACCAGAAACTGTAGAGAAAGGGAGAAGGGCCGGGTTCAGAGATATTTCTGTACGTTTTGACATAAAATAAGTACCATGGAGATTACATGCAAAATGGCATGCAAATGAGGCCTGCTGTGCCTTTTGGGGTATGAATCATAGAACCTTACTGTTGCTAGGGAGGGAACCTGGAACTCATTTTGCCTGACCCTTTCATTTTACAGGTGAAACCAAGACCCAGAGATGGGAAATCAGTTGAATCTTGTCCTGGAATTGCTTTGTATTCCTGAATTTGGAGAATTCCTGGGAACACAGGGAAAGGAAAGGTAGGTATGTGTGGGGAGAGAAAAGTCAAGGGAAGAGGGTATGCAGGATATTATTCTCCATTGCTTGAAGTTTCACATCTCTGTTCCCTGAGTATTGGAAGCAATTTAGGGGAGTCATAGGCAGCTTCTATGGAGCACTATTGGGGTGGGGTACATTTCCTTCACACAACCTATCCTAGAGGTTGTCTCATCCATTCCCATGCTTCTAAGCACACAAATCCCCCACAGCCCCTACTCCTGAGGAATTTTACTATGTCCTATATGGTTTACAGGGAAAAAAATGCATTAATTACCCCAACTCTTAAACAAGAAATAAATCCCCCAATCAAGACTAAATATTGAGCTTTTTAAAAAATCTTATAAGTTTGCCTGCCATGTTATAAGCCACTGGAGAAACATGCCAAAAAAAGTAGTGATCTTATACCTCTTGTCTCATGTCTAAGCCTAGAATAGAGACAGAATTCAAATTCAAGGCCCTGAAGGCTGAATTAGAAATGCCCATGAATTCATGTGGTCCAATTGCCCTAGAGCTCTTAGGCCCCTTCTGGCTCTTGTAGTGTTGTACACTGGAGAGAAAGGCAGGTTTCCAGCTGCCCCCATTCTCACCCCCTTGCTTCCTTCACTGTTCACATGCTAGGGTTAAGGAGGGAAGGAATGAAGGAGAAAGGGGGCTCTCCCACCAAGTTGTCAAAGGTGGCATTTCTTGGCATCCCCCTCCTTCCTCATAAAATATAACATTCTCGCCGGACGCGGTGGCGCGCGCCTGTAGTCCCAGCTACTCGGGAGGCTGAGATGGGAGGATCGCTTGAGCCCAGGAGTTCTGGGCTGTAGTGCGCTATGCCGATCGGGTGTCCGCACTAAGTTCGGCATCAATATGGTGACCTCCCGGGAGCGGGGGACCACCAGGTTGCCTAAGGAGGGGTGAACCGGCCCAGGTCGGAAACGGAGCAGGTCAAAACTCCCGTGCTGATCAGTAGTGGGATCGCGCCTGTGAATAGCCACTGCACTCCAGCCTGGGCAACATAGCGAGACCCCGTCTCTAAAAAAAAAAGAAAAAAAATTTAATGTAAAAAAATAAAAATAAAAAAACAAACAAACAAAAAAAACATTCTCTGTTCCGTGCTACATGAGGCTAAGTTGGGGTGGGGACAAGGATAGGCACACAGCTTGGAAAGCAGTGCCAGTAGAAAATTTGTTATACTCTCTGGGCCCTCAACACCCTTCCCCCAACCCAGAATTGCCTTCTTTTCTTAGTGCCCCATTTTATATTGCCAGAACCCCTGGGAAGAGCAGGATCTGCCTGTCTAAGTGCCTCTAGCCCCACCCTGCCCTGCCTTTAGATCTTCAGGATTGTCTCCTGGGATGTCTGATTCTCTGCCTTCTCTACTGCAGGCAGGATGAGAAGGACCCCCTCAAATCCCCTCAAGACAGCCTGGAAAAAATCCATCGGGGGAAAATAAAAAAAATCATTTAGGACCCCTGCCTGCTTCCAAGGGCATCAGAGGTGTTGGCAGGGGAGGAAAGCTGTGCCAGAAGTATGGAAAGAAAGATTGCCTTGTTAGAGGGGAGAGCAGGAAAAAAACCTGAAAGTAGAGAGAAGGCAGAGGGTGAAGTTTGGGAACTGAGACCTGTAGTCCCATCTGTGGGGCTGGCTGTCTAATGTAGGGAGGACATTCGTAGTGAGTATTGTTTGGGGGATTTATTAGGTAGCTGGTGTTTCTACCCTGGAACACAGAGCAGGGGAAGAGAACATGCAGCAAAGGCAGTAGGGATGGATACCCTTTGTCCCTACCCCAACATATTGCAGGCACATTAGAGATGCTAAAAGGCCATTAAAGCATTGAATCTAGATTCTGGGTTTTTTTTTTTTTTTTTTTTTTTTTTTTTTTTTTTTTTTTTTTTTTTTTTTTTTTTTTTGAGATAGGGTCTCTTCTATCATCTGGACTAGAGTACAATGGCGTCAAGTCATTATAGCTCATTGCAGCCTAAAAGAGATGGTTTTTCTGGTTGGGCTTGTCACCAGGATGCTGTAAACTGTGAAAGAAGATGGAACCGAGCTTTAAGGTCCTTGAAGAGAGGACAAGAGCAAGGACCATAGAACCAGAAACTGTAGAGAAAGGGAGAAGGCCGGTTCAGAGATTTCTGTACGTTTTGACATAAAAAGTACCATGGATGATTACATGCAAATGGCATGCAAATGAGGCCTGCTGTGCTTTTGGGTATGAATCATAGAACCCTTACTGTTGCCTAGGAGGGAACCTGGAACTCATTTTGCCTGACCCTTTCATTTTACAGGTGAAACCAAAGACCCAGAGATGGGAAATCAGTGTGATCTGTGTCCTGGAAGTGTTTGTATTCCTGAATTTGGAGAATTTCCTGGGAAAAGGAAAAGGAAAGGTAGGTATGTGTGGGAGAGAAAAGTCAAGGAAGAGGGTATGCAGGATATTATTCTCCATTGCTTGAAGTTCACATCTCTGTTCCCTGAGTATTGGAAGCATTTTAGGGGAGTCATAGGCAGCTTCTATGGAGCCACATTGGGTGGGGTACATTTCCTTACAAACCTTCTACGAGGTTGTCTCATCCATTCCCATGCTTCTAAGCACACAACAATCCCCCACAGACCCTACTCCTGAGGAATTTACTATGTCCTATATGGTTTTACAGGGAAAAAATGCATTAATTACCCAACTCTTAACAAGAAATAATCCACCAATCAAGACTAAATGATTGACTTTAAAAAATCTATAATTTGCCTGCCATGTTATAAGCCACTGGAGAAACATGCAAAAAAATAGTGATCTTATACCTCTGTCTCATGTCTAAGCCTAGAATAGAGACAGAATTCAAATCAAGGCCCTAAAGCTGAATTAGAAATGCCCATGAATTCATGTGCTCAATTGCCCTAGACGCTTTAGGCCCTTCTGGCTCTTGTAGTGTTGTACACTGGAGAGAAAGGCAGGTTTCCAGCTGCCCCATTCTCACCCCTTGCTTCCTTCACTGTTCACATGCTAGGGTTAAGGAGGGAAGGAATGAGAGAAAAGGGCTCTCCCACCAAGTTTTCAAAGGTGGCATTTCTTGGCATCCCCCTCCTTCCTCATAATAATAAACATTCTCGCCGGAGGCGGTGGCGCGCACCTGTAGTCCCAGCTACTCGGAGGCTGAGATGGGAGGATCGCTTGACGCCAGGAGTTCTGGGCTGTAGTGCGCTATGCCGATCGGTGTGTCGCACTAAGTTCGGCATCAATAGGTGACCTCCGGGAGCGGGGGACCACCAGGTTGCCTAAGGAGGGGTGAACCGCCCAGGTCGGAAACGCGAGAGTCAAAACTCCCGTGCTGATCAGTAGTGGATCGCGCCTGTTAATGCCACTGCACTCCAGCCTGGCAGAACATAGCGAGACCCGTTCTAAAAAAGAAAAAAAAATTATGTAAAAAAAAATAAAAAAACAAACAAACAAAACATTCTCTGTTCCGTGCTACATGAGGCTAAGTTGGGGTGGGACAAGGATAGGCACACAGCTTGGAAAGCAGTGCCAGTAGAAAATTTGTTATACTCTCTGGGCCCTCAACACCCTTCCCCAACCCAGATTGCCTTCTTCTCTTAGTGCCTCTTTTATATTGCGCCGAACTGGGAAGAGCAGGATCTGCCTGTCTAAGTGCCTCTAGCCCACCCTGCCCTTGCCTTTAGATCTTCAGGATTGTCTCCTGGGATGTCTGATTCTTGCCTCTTCTACTGCAGGCAGGATGAAAGGACCCTCTCAAATCCCCTCAAGACAGCCTGGAAAAATCCATCGGGGGAAAATAAAAAAAATCATTTAGGACCCCTGCCTGCTTCAAGGGCATCAGAGTGTTGGCAGGGGAGGAAAGCTGTGCCAGAAGTATGGAAAGAAAGATTGCCTTGTAAGAGGGGAGAGCAGAAAAAACCTGAAAGTAGAGAGAAGCGAGGGTGAAGTTTGGGAACTGAGACCTGTAGCTCATCTGTGGGGCTGCTGTCTAATGTAGGGAGCATTCGTAGTGAGTATTGTTTGGGGATTTATTAGGTAGCTGGTGTTTACAGACTGCTGTTCTACCCTGGAACACAGAGCAGGGGAAGAGAACATGCAGCAAAGGCAGTAGGGATGGATACCCTTTGTCCCTACCCCAACATATTGCAGGCACATTAGAGATGCTAAAAGGCCATTAAAGCATTGAATCTAGATTCTGGGTGTTATTCTTTTTCTTTTTCTTTCTTTCTTTCTTTTTTTTTTTTTTTTTTTTTTTTTGAGATAGGGTCTCTTCTATCATCTGGACTAGAGTACAATGGCGTCAAGTCATTATAGCTCATTGCAGCCTTAAACTCCTGGGCTCAAGTGATCCTACTGCCTGAGCCTCTTGAGTAGCTGGGACTGCAGGCACACACCACCATGCCTGGCTAATTTTTCTATTTTTTGTAGAGATGGGTCTTGCTCTTTCCCTTGCTTAGATCTTGAACTCTTGACCTCAAGCAGTTCTCCCTCCTAGGCTTCCCAAAGTACTAAGATTACAGTATGAGCCACCTGCCCAGCCTCTAGGTGTCTTTCTAAGGAACAGAACAGAGCCTTTCTCTCCCCAGCCCCTAGAAATGCCCATGAATTCATGTGGTCCCATGGCCCTTGAGCTCTTAGGCCCCTTCTGGCTCTTGTAGTATTGGTGTACACTGGAGAGAAAGGCAGGTTTCCAGCACTTTCCAGGTGAAGGCCAATGATTCTTGTCCTCTTTCTCCCATCAGTTTTCCCATTGACTGGGGAAAGATCTGGATGCCTGAACCTCCCACCTTGACACCTTGAAGGTTGTTATGTAGGTCCCCTCTCTGCAGCTTCTAAAGCCATGGAGAAGGAGAAGGAAGGCAGAGAAAGAGGTAGACACATGATGTGGCAGTGCTACAGTGTCCATCAGCGCCCAAGAAGAAAGGCCAAGGAGAAGAAACTGACCAGAGAGGAAGCCAGGAGAAGATGCCTGCTTCTGAAACAGCATCCCTACCCCATCCTCTCCAGCTCCCTGTCTCACATGTCGACAAGGCTGTGCGCCCAAGTGTGCCAGCTCTTCTGGCTGTGATCCTGCTCTGCTGTGCAGGCAGCCAGCTCTCTGCCCCAGCACAGAGCACCTCCTGGGGTCTCTCTCACACTCCTTTGCTCGCTCATCTCAATGTATCTGTGTTGCCGATTCCTAGAAATGAAGAAGGCTGTGGCCCTGCAGGTAGGAAGATGGTGGGCTCTGGGGCCCATTGGGTGCCTGGCTGCCTGGCTGCAGGAGGGAAGGAGGGAGAAGGCTGCTGGCAACTCAGCCAAGCTCAAGGTTCAGGTGACTCACAGCAATGTGGGTGGCTCATGAAAACAACAGAGGGGAACAGGGTCCAGGCCTGTTAGAGCTCTCTTTTGCCCCATTTCTTCCTACTCTGAGCTCTGTGGATGATGGTCTCTCATCCAGATTATGGAGCTGAGAGAGGCTGGGCATTCCTGGTGAGAGGTTTCCCAGGAAGGAAAGAATAGGAGAGGCCAGTTATTCTTGTCCTGCTATATCCGTTGGCTGTACAGAGGGTACTGGGCATCCACATGTGTTGGGGCACCTCAGTGCTCCTGAGCACTTTCCTGAGAAGGGGCTTTCCTGGAAGACACAGCTATTCCTCTCTGCCCTCATTTGCCTGCCCAGAACTCTGCGTACCTAGCTGACACCAAATTTTTAGAAATAAGGGGGAAAAAAGCACTATTACAAGACTAAAACCTGGTCAGTATTCTCCTCCCTAGAAACAGATAACTGAGACAAGAGAAGAACAGCTAGGGACTCCTAGGTTGGCTGATCCAGGGTGTTGGCACAGGCTATGAGGTGGGTGCAGAACTGTGGATTTTTAAAAGTGCTGATTCCCTCCTCCTTTACAGGCCAGGTGGGCGATATGCATCTTCTCCATTCGTTCTGAATTTGGGATCATAGGATACTGTGTTTCAGATCACACCAGGAGAAAGAGGCCAGAAGGTGGACCGGGAGAACCATTCATGACTGTGACCATAGTTCCAGGGGCATGTGACTAGAACTGGCAAAGGGAAACAGGGATCTGCGATGCCAGTGTATCCAGACATAATAATAAACACCCCTACCTTTAACCTCAGAGGATGGGCTAAGAGGAGGGGAGTTCTGTGACAGAGCCTGAGTTCTTATTTGCCTATTTCTGTTCCTTTCATTGCTGGTGGCTCTGCTTTCTCACCAGGATAAGGGATCCTCTGCCCAGTTGCCCCTGGGAAATCCAGAGATGACTTTGGTTGGAGAAAGTGACAGACCAGCCACTCTTCATGCAGGGAGATGAAAACAGCACCACTCCCCCAGCTCTCCCTGGCAGCATCAGAAGCTCAGGGTCTCCTGTTGGAAACCCCAAGCTAAAGCTCAGTCCTGAACTAAACCAACACATCACCTGGCCCTGGGTATAAAAGTGGTACTGTGAGGGGGAGCTTGGGTACACCAGGTGGGAAGTAGGCAGGTGTGGGGAGTTCAACCCCAGGAGGTATAAGAATCACTCTAAGATACCACATGCTCCTTAATCCTCCTTTATCTCAAATCCCTTTCTCTGCCTACCTTTTCTTTCACCTCCCTTTAGCCAACTACGCTCCTGGCTACCTCATCCCCTCCAGTCTGAGAGGACATGGTAAGTAGTTGTCTGTTCCCTTTACTTCTCCCTCTCTCACTCTCCTCCCAGCTCCCAACTGAGAGCTACCCTCACTTGAACTCTTTCTAGTGAATCACTAGGATCTGAACCCAGGATCCCTAGCCTCTGCTGCACGCCCCCCCCCCCCCCCCACCCCCCTCCTCCTCCTCCTCGACCTCCTCCTCCCCCCCCCCCCCCCCCACCCTGAGAATTTCACTGGGGTGGAGAGGACTTATCAGTCTTCATTCTTCAAATATATACAGGCCAAGACTGGTATGTCCACTGCCGTCAAGGGCCCTGGCCTGCAGCAGAGGGCAGCCCTAGGGGTGCAGTAGGGTCCCGGCACTAAATGTGTGTATGCCTGTGCATTGGGCACACGGGTTTATTAGTGTTATTTCAGCATTGTGATGCAGAGAGAGTAAGTGTAACAGCTGCTCCTTGCTTGCAGTGTTTATTGTTACCTAGAGACAACCTCCTGGCTTTTTCCCAGCTCCCCCTCCCCCCTAGCCCAACCCCCTCCCTACCAACAATCCTGCTCTCCCCACACTGATGGGAAATTTATAGCTTGCCCATACCATGATTTTAACCCTCTCTTGTCCATAGGGTAGATGGGCAGAGGGAAGCTAAAGTGAGCAGTGGGCATGTTTGAGCCCCAGCAGGGTAGAATAACATGTGGAAGAAAGAGGGAGAAGTGATACCTCTCTCCTTCCATTCTATGTGTCCAGTCTTAGGCCTCAGTTGCCCTCCTGGCTCTTGTGTGGAGAGAAAAGAGGAAAGACCTTTGAACCTGGCCTTGAGATCCTGGAAGAGCTCCTTTGGACCTAGCCTTGGGATCCCGGCATCCTCTTTACAAAATTATTCTCTTCCCTGGGCATCTCTAAGCCTCCAACTGGGTTGCCTGGACCTGAGCAAATATAGTGAGGTAATATGGAAATGGAGGGGTAAATACAGGGTGGCAGAATCCCCAACCCCCTCCTTTATGTCGGAGAGAGAGGTAGCTATAGAGATGTCATATTGAGACAAAAAGTGGCTCTGGCTTGAGAGATACTGGCCAGACCTCCACAGCTGGGTAGATGTCAAACATGAAGACCACTGCTGAGCCTGGTGGGAAAAACTGTCCACCTTAACTTAGAGCCCAGCACTAAGGTCCTAAGAGACTCCGAGGACATTCTCCAAGCCGGTCTTCTTGGTCTGGTTAGGCTGCTCCTTTCTGCTTGTCTTTCCTGGTTCATTTTCTCCTGCACATCTTTTGGTTTTATACCTTGGAGCATATCAAAGAGACTGAGGAGAGTGAGGTATCCTAGTCATGGCCTCAGCAAAGCTGGGGAAAGAGAAGCCCCCTCTATCCCATCTTGACCTAGGATCTTTCATGGAGAGGCACCATGTCGTCTACTCACCATTCTCAGTGGAAACAAGAGAAGAAAAGAGATCAGATTTTAGCAAAAAGGATAGAAGTTAGACTATATGGAAAAACTTACAGAATTAAAGACTTTAGAATGAGTCTACTTCACTTTAGAGACTTTTCTTCTGCCTGTGATGGGTTTAAGTCTATGCCTACCCAAGGAACACTGCAATAACAGGGTTACTTTTCCAGGCCTCCTCCAGGGAGCTTCAGCACAGTTTCTACACAGTCCACCCCTCCTCAATCCTTCTAAATGTAGTATGTGTGGTGGTTAGATCACAAGTTTCAGAAGCAGACAGCTCTGGGTTTCAGTGCCATCTCTGCCACTTACCAGCTGTGCTACCTTGGCAAGTCACTTAACCTCTTAGAGTCCTAGTTTCCTTGTCTGTGAAATGCAGATAAACAACTACTCCTTAAGGTTGTGAGAATTTCATGAAAAAATGTCCGTAAAGCACCTAGGACAGTGCCTGATAGTCAGTAGGTGCTCAGTCAACAGTGGTCGATGCAACAGGGCACGATTACTTTTATGAAGTCAGCAGGGCTGACATTGCTTCAAAGACTCCATGATTCTCCTGAGATTATTGGCTAAATGTGTGTATGTACAGATGCCATCAATCACGTAGAATGTCCATAGTTTTCTATGTGATGTGGAGTGTGGGTGGCAGTCCCCTGGAAAGGAAGTAGCCCTAATCCCTGATTCAAACTCCCCAAGAAATCAGGTCCCCCATTCCCATGCCTCCCAAGTCTGTTTCATTCAGAACAGAGCTGGGAGAGAGAGTCATTAGAAGGATAGCAACAAGTAGCATTTGCCAGGCATTGTACAGTTTGTCAAGTACATTTACCTGCCTTAGCTCTTTTGATGCCCAAAACAACCTAGTAAAGAAAAGATGGCTAGGTGCAGTGGCTCATTGCTTGTAATCCCAGTACTTTGAGAGGCTGAGGCAATAGGATTGCTTGAGGCGAGGAGTTCGAGACCAGCCTGGGCAACAGAGTGAAACCTTGTTTCTACAAAAAATAAGAAAAATTATCCAGGCATGGTGGCATGTGCTTGTAGCCCAGCTACTCAAGAGGCTGAGGCTGGAGGATTGCTTGAGCCCAGGAGTTCAAGGCTGCAGTGACCTATGATTGTGCCACTGCACTCCAGCCTGGGCAACAGAAAAAGACCCCCATCTCAAAAAAAAAAAAAAAAAGAGAACTCTATTTATTGAGTGCCTACTATGCACTGGGCATTATATTGGGTATATTTTTTTAAGTATGTTTAAAGTCTATAGAGTACTTTATCACCTAGATATGTTGTCATTTATAAGACTCATCCCCTATTTTTAATCATTTAGATATTTTTACTGTTATAAATAATACCACAATGAATATGCAAACGCATAAAACTTCATGCACTTTTATTGGTTAATTCCAAGAAGTGGAATTACACTGGTCAGCAGATACAAATACCTACCCTCCATGGTTATGTTCATTTTATTGATGTGCCCAAATGAGAACAGTATCTATTAATCTTCCTTTTTGGAATTCAACAATAAAAACAAAAGGTGGCCTCTTCTTCCTCCTATACCCAGCAGAGACATTAATAATCTGTCATAGGCTGAGCATGGTGGCTCACGCCTATAATCCTAACACTCTGGAAGGCTGAGGCGAGTGGATCACTCAGGGTCAGGAATTTGAAACCAGCCAGAGCAAGAGCAAGACTCAGTCTCTACTAAAAAAATAGAAAGAAATTAATTGGCCAACTAAAAATATATAGAAAAAATTAGCCAAGTGCATGCCTGTAGTCCCAGCTACTCAGAGGCTAAGGCAGGAGTATCGCCTGAGCACAGGAGTTTGAGGTTGCTATGAGCTAGGTTGACTCCACGGCACTCTAGCCTGGAGAGACTCTGTCTCAATCAATCAATCAATAAAATCTATCATAGCTTTTTAAAAAATTGATCATTATAGATTGACATGCAGTTTTAAGAAATAATACAAAAGAGATCCCTTGTACATTTTTCACACTTTCACCAAATAACATTTTGCAAAACTATAATATAGTATCACAACCAGAATATTGACATTGATACAATCTACCAGTCTTATATAGATTTATCTAGTTTTACTTATTTTTGTGTATGTGTGTGTGTATATGTATTAAGTGCTATATAATTTTATTACCTGTGTAATTTCTTTTCTTTTTTTGTTTTGAGACAGTCTTACTCTCTTGCCTGGGCTAGAGTGCCGTGGCATCAGCCTAGCTCACAGCAACCTCAAACTCCTGAGCTCAAGGAATCCTCCTGCCTTAGCCTCCCAGATAGCTGGGACAACAAGCACACACCACCGTGCCAGGCTAATTTTTTTTTCTATTTTTAGTTGTTTGGCTAATTTCTTTCTCTTTATAATAGAGACCAGGTCTCGCTCTTGCTCAGGCTGGTCTTAAACTCCTGAGGTCAAGCAATCCTCCCACCTCGGCCTCCCAGAGTGCTAGGATTACAGGCATGAGCCACCGTGCCTGGCCTCACCTATGTTATTTCATGTATCTACCACTATAGTCAAGAAGCTGAACAGTTCTAACACCACAAGAAATCCTCATGTTCCCCTTTTATAATCACACCTCCATCCCTCCCTCTCACCCCCATCATCCCCTTCTTAACCCTTGGCACCACTAATCTGTCCTTCTTTCTAAAATTTTGTCATTTCAAGAATGGAATTATATAGTATGTAACTTTTTAGGTTTGTCTTTCCTCATGCAGCATAATTCCCTGGAGACCTATCCAAGTTTTTGTGTGTATCAGTAGTTCATTCCTTTTATTTATTGCGTGGTATGGATGTATATACCACAATTTGTTTAGCCACTCACCTGTTGGAGGACATCTGGGCTGATTCCAGTTTTTGGCTGTTACAAATAAAGCTGCTGTGAACATTCATGTACAGATTTTTGTGTGAACATAAACATTTTTTAACATTATCAGGTTGCCCATCAGCAAGGTTCTTTCACTTTGTACTCATTAGCAATGAATGAAATAGCTCATTTCACTTGGTTTGCTGAGTGTTTTGTTTTGTTTTTAATCTTTTTTTTTTTTTTTTTTTTTACAAGAGATCGGTTCTCTCTCTCTCTCTCTCTCTGTTATCCAGGCTAGAGGGCAGTGGCACAATTATAGCTCACTGGAACCTCAAACTCCTGAGCTCAAGTGATCCTCATGCCTCAGCCTCCCAAATAGATAGGACTACAGACACATGCCAGGACTTCAGACACATGCCACCATGCCCAACTGATTTTTTTATTTTTTGTAGAGATGGGGTCTCACTATGTTGACCAGGCTGGTCTTGAACTCTTGGCCTCGTTCTCCTGCCTTAGCCTCCCAAAGTGCTGAGATTACAGGGATGATCCACCATGCTTGGCCATGAGTATCTAATATTCACAATTATTAAACTTCTTACTCAAGGTCAGCAGTTCGAAACCAGCCTGAGCAAGAGCGAGACCCCGTCTCTACTATAAATAGAAAGAAATTAATTGGCCAACTAATATATATAGAAAAAATTAGCCGGGCATGGTGGCGCATGCCTATAGTCCCAGCTACTCGGGAGGCTGAGGCAGCAGGATTACGTGAGCCCAGGAGTTTGAGGTTGTTGTTAGCTAGGCTGACGCCATGGCACTCACTCAGCCTGGGCAACAAAGTGAGACTCTGTCTTAAAAAAAACAAAAATACATAGAAAAAATTAGCTGGGCATGGTGGCGCATGCCTGTAGTCCCAGCTACTTGGGAGGCTGAGGCAGGAGGATCTCTTGAGCCCAGGAGTCTGATGTTGCTGTGAACTAGGCTGACGCCACAGCACTCTAGCCTGGGCAACAGAGCGAGACTTTGTCTCAAAAAAATAAAATAAACTTCTTTAACCCTTGGGAGATGGCACTACTATTATCTTCATTTTATAGACAAGGTAATTGAGGCTCACAGTAAGTCATTTTCCCAAGAGCACATGTTGTTAAGTGGCAAAGAAGACCATGGAACTCAAGATAATGGGGTTCTTTCCACCACACCAGACTTTTTCAGGGGAAGGCCTTTCTACATTTGACCTAGGTTGCAGGGAAGAAGGTATGGTGTGGTGTGGGTGGTTCTAGCAGAGAGATGTTGGAGGCAGGGAGAGCATTGGAGCAGCCTGGGTCAACTCAGGTCCTTACAGCCAACTTTGATTCATAGATTAGATGAGCAGTAGTGTCACAGAGCAAGGGACAATATGGCATGTGCCCTTTGAAATTGTTTTCCCTTTGCCAGAAAAGAACAAGGCTGAAGTGGATGGAGCCCTTCAACAATCTATCCACAGACCTGAGACCTGAAATGGGGTAGGGAGGATCTAGCCTTTGGATGTCTATCAGGAGATGAGTGATCAAGGTCCTCCTTAGAAACATACAGTTGAATGTGTCTCTGAGGTCTGAGGAAATTGAGGCCAGTAACAATTGAGCTGTCTATTCTGTAGAGTAAGGGAGATAAAGAACTTTTTTGTTGTTGTTTTTGATGATGAGGAGCTATAGTTTGTTTA